TACAGGGTTGTGTGTCCTGTGGCCAGACAGTTACTTTCACATTGCCTGTGTCTAACTTGGAGAATAAAAGTGTATCGGCACTCTTATAGGAAGAGCCGACAAAATACTAAAGATAACATGTGATGAACTTGCATCCCATCCAGAGGAGGGAAGGGGGGAAGTGGACAAAGTCGCTCGATAGCTTTGGAAATCGGACCAACCCCTGTCCCTAAGTTTGTAATACTTAAACATTTGAGTAACAACCTCCACTTTTAGCAACCTTAAAAGTTACGGTCATTTCCGACTTAAATGAATGAATGAATGAAAACTTTGTTTACATGTCTATGTTTTTCGCTGTAGATTAGCTAATTGGGGACACCTAACTAAAGTCATTAGCTAATAACCAGTGTACGAGAACAAAGAGGTAAATGTTTAAAATACTTGTTAACAGTACAATAATAAATACTACGGAGTAATAAAAAATGATTCTGTTCACAATTTACATAATTTGCAGCAACTGCTCTTGTTGTCAATGAGGTCTGAAAGGTCAGTTTTTCGTACTCTGGTGTTAAATATAGCGAGGGTTGGTGATGCCCTTAATTCTTTGCTAAGTTTCGACCAGATATATGGACCTTAGTATCTTATTGTGTTTTTACCATAACCTTTAGTGTTAAAACGAGGTTTTTCAAAGTCCCAGTTTCTGAGGCAGAACTGTGAGTTCTTAGTTTTGAATAGTCGTGATAGACAACCTGGAACAAGACTTTAAACCTTATACATCAGAGTGGCAGTTTCTTGTGGATGTCTGTTGTATAGAGTCGGTAGCCTAGTCGACTTGTCAAACCAGTCTCACTGAATTTATTTCTCTGTTTCCCATTCCCTTAAGACTGGAACTTTTTGATTTCAATGTCCCGGGTATTCCACGAAGTCCGCAAAAAACCTTCGAACAAATTCTGAACGTGGAATCGATTCACACATCTAAACCTGTTACTATTAATTCCATTTGAAACTGGGTAATGGTTGCTATGCAAATTTATAAAATAATTCAAATAGTACGCGCGCTCTGATTGGCCATAAAACCATTTACATGAGCGTATGTAGACACGGTTTTCGTTCCTCTTTCATTAGTTATTTTATAAAAGAAATGTAAAATGGTTTCCGTGTTTACATAGCCTGATGTAAACACCACGCTTATCTCGTGGTATTCAACAATTGTGCGATTATCAGTCTGCACAGTTATGTAAAATGATGTGAAAATGGAAAACTAGAGTTTTGTTTGGCCATCGGTTCCTTTTGACAGTTCTGTTCTCTTTAGCTTAAGATATGACCAACATACAAACATTACAACCTTCAACTTCAAACGATATAATGGAAGGAAAAACAACAAATGTTACTTATCTTTCGTTTCCCTGTCGAATTCCTGGGCACGATTAATGTTCATTCGTCAATCTGCAGTCTCCCTTCACCAGCTAAACGAGACGGTTACAAAGGAACATGAGCATACGAAGTGAGATGAGCACTCAGCCAAGGAAAAATAAACTTCACAATAAGTTGCAACTGCGCTCTTATGCAGTTTCTGCAGAGTAAGTCATATTAGATTGTAAAACTCGGACAAACACCGGCGCCTTTCACATGTTACCTTCTCTCCAATCGCGGCTGCAGCAATGCCCACATTGTAACCAATCACAAGGCCCCAAGTCTTGAAATTAACCAATCAGATAGCGTGTTTACGCGGTTGTCACAGAGTGGCGGGAACAAGAAGCGCGAAAACAACGCAAGCCACTTACCAACACAACAATAGACAGATAAAGAACTTCTTCGCCGCTACGTTTTGAGTGGTTGATAGTTTGAACTCAAGGCTACAGCAAACCGCAAAATCAACTCCGTTTTCACACGATCTTCATAACTGTAACAACCTCCCATTCAAAGTTAATACCCACACTTTTGCTGAGAGCGGACGGTTAGCAATTCAAATTCGGGGGTTTGCCAAAAAAATTGAACTTAGGTTTGCAGAAATATGCTACCTTTGCCCTAATTTCTTGTATTGCAGAAGATGACATCAGATCTTTTATCTCAAATAACCACACCAACTCAATTCAAAATTCCAATATATGTTTATTTCCAACTTAATTTTTTCTTTTCAAGGGACATTTTTATGGCGCAAAATTAAATCAACAAAAATATAGACAGTAAATTTCGTCTTAGCCTTCAACAAAATAAATTTTGTCTAAAAATTTAATCTACATGCCCTTCCTGCTGTTTAAAATTTTAAAAAAAATGTAGGTAATGACTGAATACTATCATCGCATTTTAACAAGGCCTAGTTTCAATTAGACTCTTTCTGACAAACTGTTATTTTTTCTTGCATTAAAATAAAAATAGGTAAAATATCACAATGTATCAACTACTATACACAATAACAGGTTGTTATTTATTTTAAATAGACAACATTAAATGCATTAATAACTTGATAATTCCTCTAAAAGATGACATGCATTGTTGCCAATGCTATGGCATATGAAAAACATTCAAATGAATGTCCTTACGGGGCGTAGAGGGGGATACCATTAGGTACAACGAAATACCTTACGAATTAAATTTAACAAATGAGCATATACAAATTGTCATGATAGTTTCTTTTAAAATAAGGTAATTTCAGATTTTTGTACATAAATTTTAACATAATCAACTAAGCAACACAAAGTACACACAAATGTTTTGCTGCTTTTATGTGTTTTGAGGGTGAGAGAAGTCCTGACCCATGGCTCTCAGCCTCCCAAGAACATTTTGTTTTTAAACTAGAATACAGGTAATCATAATTCCCTACAGACAGTGGAAAATTACTGTTGTCTTGGGGTACTAGTATCAGTGAAAAAAAGGACGAGATATATTACATTAACAGTTAGCTTGCAAGTAAGTTTAAACAATGATTTGTAATCTGCATTCTGATTACAGAGTTCTTTCCTAAATGTGGGTTTCAGGTGCCTCGATGGTACAAAATAATCATGCAAAAAATTTTAATCATTGGAGAGCTGGCTTGTTATATATGTAATGATTTCAAATTAAATAACATAACTTCTTTTGTACATCTGAGTCAACAAGGGCTGATTGTGCTTGTACTCTGACTTAATAGGACTATCTATCACTTTTTTCAAATAGAAAAATGGCTTTTCTTTGTGGAGTAATGATGTCAGAATGGCCCAACAACATTCTGAGAAAGCTGAACTCTTGAAGTTCCCCCTTTGTGTTATTAACAGTTCCTTTAAATTGAAAATCTACATGGAAGGAGAGAATGCTTGCTACCTTGAAAAGAGAGCAAAATTAAAAGAAAATCATTTTTTCTGATGCATCTCAGCTGGCTAGAACCCTTAATATTTGAATCTGATTGGTTCACTACATGCTCATAACTGGTCCAGCTCCTTACAATACAGACCATGGTCCAGAATTTTATCTGCTCCAGCAACAGCAAATTGAAATTGTTGCAGAAAGAAAGAAAATCATCAGAAGCAAATCAATAAGTTATTTATCAGTAGAGTCCCTTGGTCTTAAATATGATAAAGGGCCTTCAACCTCAGCCATACTCAGGACCTCTAGCACAATTTTTTTCAGACAAACCTCCCACTTGGTAAATAAAATATCAATGATAATAACTTTTTAAGTCGTGACACTGTCCTCACTTTGAAAGGTCAAGTTACTAGTTAGAAACTCAGAATGCAGTTGGATGTAAAGTTTGATGGATACATTTACATGACTGAGATAAAATAAGGTTCCCTGACATACACTTCTCCAATAAATAAGCAGCCTAAGCTAAGTGGTCCCTTCTCCCTCACCTACCCCACCATGACCATCGTAGCATTTAACAAAACAGAAAAATTGTTGAAAATAAGGGCAGCCAGATTAACCCACATATATTGGTCAAGAAAAAGCTCCACAACAGACCTCTTTCAAGAATTTCATGTTTGAAAACAACAGCCAGAGTTTTCAGTCAAAGTGAGGCAAATGCAAACTAATTTACATGCACATAACTAAGGAAATACTTATCATGTCCACTATCATGACAGGTCTACGTTGCTACATTTCATGGCACTATGTCCTGTTGTCACAAGTATTAAATATGATCTACATACACCCACAACATTCTCTTTAGTAGGTCTACTGAGTTTCTCAGATGTTACATTAATACACAATTAAATTATATCGAAAGAAAACCCCCTATCCTTGATCTACCCATTGAATCAAGCTGAGTCTACTAACTTCAGTAACAAATTAAAGTCACTTCAAAAATATTATTTATCTTCAAGACAGAATAATTGATATTCTTGTTTGGAGAATTAATATTTGCGAAAGTATTATATGCCAATAGACATCCTGCATAATGTAAGTGCCGCTCACTTTGAAGGTCAAGTAAATGAGTGAATGGTTTGCCTTGAACTTAATGATGCCAGTCTCTCTTGGGTAATTTAGTATCATCAACTGAGTTGATAATGTAAAATTGGCCACTTTAAAGAATTAAAAGCTGACGTTTCAAGCATTAGCCCTTCCATCTCTCTAATGAAGGGCTAATGCTTGAAATATCAGCTTTTAAACTCTATTATAGTGGCAAATTTATGTTATCAACTCACTTGATAATACTAAATTACCTTGTTATACTCTCCCACTGACACAGCACCACAGTTTCTTTAGAAAGTTACCCCCTTTATTCCTTTGAATTAGCAACTCGCTTTGTCCTTCATTAGAAACAAAGTCTTCTTCATCGACATAGATTATTTGCATGCACTTTAAATAAATAAATAAATTTTATCATTCAACATAAAATAAACTTCAAAAGAACTAAAGCCATAGCCATATGTGGAATTTAAAAGAATGTAATCTACTACAGCCTTCCTTGAGATTTTTTCCAATCAATGCAAATTTATTGCATTTTTGAAGTTTCTTGTGTCATTCTAAACAGCCTGTGATCTAGGGAGCTTAATCACAGGCTTAAGGTGATTCCTCAGTATTACACTGTGCATCCTGTAATACTCATAAAAATCACATAATCAGGCAAATAAGCTTGCCCGCATTCCAAGAACATGGTATTGTTTTTCAATCAATGGTTCAAGTAAAAAGGTGCAATGTTCTTTAGCTCTTAAATGAACATGGTGACCTAAATTTTTTATTGCATAATTTTGGTGTACAAATTATCCCCTTCAAATTGGAGGAATTAAAAAAAATTAATTGAAGGGAAAACAAGACATAGCTAAAATCCTGTGTGAAGCACATTACTTGACGACACAAACTTTTTGTAAGCTTGAAAGCCATGACTCGAAGAATGTTTTGAATCAATGTTGTTTGTGATTGTGTGATTTTTTCATGCGCTCAAGACCTTCTATCTATCAAGTTTTTTTAATTGTTACTTTAGAAACCCTCACTTCCGGCTACTGCAAAATTTACCATGAACAGATAAAATAATGTGCATGATAGGTGCCAGTACAGGCATAAATGGGGTGAGTTTGGCCTGTTATATCTCTTTCAAAACAGACATTGGATAGGAACACTTAAGGAAAGTTTAAAAAAAAAGGTTTGTTAGATAACTTTTTTCCTGAGCAGTCACCTTGATTAATTGCTTATTGTTATATATTCTACTTTCTGCCAATTTGATCAATAACTTGTATGAGGTGAAATTGCCTTAACTTACATGACCCAGTCCCTTAACCCTATAACTTCCAGAAGTGATTAACATGTAACTTCTCCCTATAATATCCATACATTATCCAGCAAACAGGTAATGAGAATACCCAAATCATCAGGTAGAAGTTGTTACCTTGATCTAACACCAAATTCATGTAACCAATAAACAAGGATAAGTGTCGCATAGAGGGGAGAATTAACATTCAAATCTTGGGAATTAAAGGGTTAACAATTACACGTCCACAAGTGACCAATATGCAATTTCCTTTTACAAAATCAATGCACCTTCAATCTTCAAGGTCATACACAGGACAAAATCACATGTTTCCGTATTTCTGAAACGTGGCGGAAACATGCAACTCCATGTTTCCGTTATGTTTAACATGCACAAAAAGTGGTCCGGTTCCGTTGTATACACAGCAATGGAAACGCGAGAAAACGTCACGAAACCAGTAACGGAAACACAGGTTATCCATCGTGTTTCCAGAACAGTTTTAACATGTTTCTGCCACGTTTCCGTTAACAGATTCTTGCAATTTTGTCCTGTGATAACAAGAAAGCAATTTCAACTAAAGAAAAGTACTGTTTGATTTCACACGATACTCTGGGAGCCATAGCTCAAAAGCTTCTAAGAAATGTATGATATACAGCGCAGAAAATTGACATGAAGCACCTAGGAGTGAAATGTTAAATAAATCACACTTGCCAGGTCTGAAATTCAACTTTACTTGAATAGAAGCAACCAGAGCTAACACCATTTGCATGTCAGCCAAGGATTGACCATGACTCTGACCACTGCTCACCAGGATCTGATGCATAATACATGTCTTAAGACGCCTCACTTTGTCTTGGTATCCATTGACTTCTGTATCAGCTGTAAAAATATTTCATCTGTTCCCCCAAAACAGGAAAGTGTTAAATATACAATTCCAATAATTAAAACATACCATCTCACCATTGCAGACATGTACAGAAGAACTGACGAACAGATTGTGAACAGAAGCCAGAAGATGAGCCCTTTTTTAAACAGATAACTCACAGCTAACTGGATCTCATTCTGTTGTTCACTTGCTATTTCAGAAGGAGGGCCAAAATGTTTCTCCTTGGTGTAAAATTTTCTCAGTCTATCCTCTTTCTGCATCCATTGCTTACAGCACCATTCTTCAAGACCTTGTGTATCTTGTGGAAGTGCATCATTGGAATATCGCTGAATGTGAAAATGAATTTCACTTGGTACATTTCCTTTCAGTAGATCAACTTCTTCAAAACAGTAATTTTCAGAATAACCAACGGTGACATCAAGAATAGCATCTACATTCCCCTGACGAAGTTTCTCAACACAGTACGTGAAGCCACGTACACGTGGATGTAGAACATAGTCATAAAAGGGAAGATTATTTTTTGTTGCAAAGGAATCACTTTTCTGTTTGCTAGCCTCCTCAAAGTTGGTACCCTCAGGAAACAAGAGTAGCTGAAGACTATCTGATGAATTGACAAAGTAACTGAGAACTGAATTAAGGTAGCTTTCATCTCTCTCCCAACGGCGGTGCAAGAAAATGTAAAGGGCATTCTGCATGGCCCAACCTGAAAATAAGCACAAAATTCTTTAAAACAATACCTGGCAATTCTACTATACACCAGAATTTACTAATTTAGAAAAAAATGAAGTGTCTCCCCAGCTGTTTGTATAATCATCTTTCCTGAAATCAATTTACTGAATATAACTCAGCAACTTAGCGATATAAGTAACATTAACATTGTCACTTAAAGAGTACTTTCTAAACCGAAGAAGAATTATAAAATGTCTGCTTGAAAACTCGTTTATACACTTTTTTGATAATGAACAGAAAATGTTGAGGACTGAATTTTTCTCAGACTTCTTTTTTCTTTTTCAATCTACACTTTCTCTCCCAAGATAATTTGCCCTACTGTCTGTAATAAAATTCTTATAATGCTAGTTTGGAGAATTTGGTATTGAATCAACTAATTATCTCCTAGTTGATATACATCTTTTATAATTCTCATGACCTTTCTGCTTGATATTATATTGATATTGTAAGGAGAAATTATGTCTTGGTCACCCATGGGAGCTTAAGGGTCAATAGCCCAAGTATAAAGCATAAGATGTTAACTGAACCTTAACCCTTCAACTCCCAAGATCTCATTAGTAAGTCTCCTTACTATCTACCATATAGATCTTCTGATGTTAGTTTGGAGAATTTGGTATTGGATCAACTAATAATCCCATAAATAAGATTTTTTGTTCTTCTCATGACTTGTCTGCTTGATATTGTATTGATATTGTATGGAGAAATTCTATCTTAGTCAATCATGGGAGTTGAAGGGTTAAAGAACAAATGCCAGCCATACTGCTCACAAGCAGAAATGTCAGCTATATGGTAAATCACATAATAGTACATAAAGAGTCCTTTACTGACAGCCAAATTTCTATTCAATGCAACCATTTCATAATTTTAGGTCCCTAATGGCAACTTTGTTAAAAAAAAAAATTTGATCTTGAAACCAAAATTTATAGCAAAATGATGAAAATACTTACCTGGACCAGGAATATGTTTGAGTTCACGTTTCATTATTATCTTCTCGTGCTTCAACTCGCCATATCGTGCCACAAAACTCCAAAAGAACATCCAATCAAGTCGGCATCTGTGGTTCATGATGATAACAGAGTTCTCACTCTTTGGAGGCTTGTCCCCAGTGACTACAATCTTGACTCCAAACATCATCTCTGTGCATTGAGAGAGGAAAATAATTGTCGGTAATTTAACTCAAATTTCTTCCTCTAAAATTCAAACCAGGTCAAGTATAGCTATACGCAAGTTGATATCATCACAAAGAACATCCATTAATGGAAAATTTATTTTCATTTTAAGTTCAATGATCTTTTGGCTTTTACATAAAAAGAAGGTATACTATATCTCAATCAGTGGTGAGGAGACATAAATTGATCCTGAGAAAACTAACAAGAATCTTGGACAGCACATTCCCAGATGTTTATTTTCTTGTCATATTAGTTAGGGAAAATTTTGTGTTCAACCTGTTTTTAACAGTGAATAAAAAACATGTCTTAGAGCAAAAAAAGAAACATTAACCTTTCCTGATCTATCACAAAACATATTCAGGTTTGAAACCAATTCAGTTATCTAACAAAGCTGGCTGGAAAGCAACTACAAAAAATTATTTAGAGCAACACTAAATCATGAAAAAAAAATGAAAATAACTAGTTCATTAATATGACTACAACATTATTCAGAGTACAAATTGGAACTTGCATGTTTCACAGTTCACTACTTTGTTTTGTATTGCAGCTGTAAAACAAAACCAAGCACACCTTTCTCAAGCAAAAAAAGCATTGTGAGTTAAGTTAAAAATAGGGCAAAAGAAGGGCTGATAATATAATCCCTCTATAAAATAATCAATGTCATGATTAAAAAAAAATCTGATCATCCAATTTCAGGTCACAAAACATGGAGCCAAACAAATCGCAAGAAGTTTCAGAGCCTCATGTCAAATTGGGCATAGTTGTCATACTTCAAGAAGTACTATTAATTCTTAAGCCAAAACGCCTTTCCAGTGGTACTTAGTTCATCTTCATAGGGTGTTGACTGACTTTACAGCATTTACTAACCAGTAAACAAAGAGCAAATTATTATTTCTGCCAGTTTTGGTTTTAGACTGTAACAAGTTTTGATAAGTCATCATGTTGTGGCATTTGGCAATTGGCAATTGTTTCCTGATGACATAACAGTATGTACTAAATGGTTCAAATTCAGTCTTTTAAAAGCCAGCATTAGGAAATATACCCAAGCATGGAAATCTAAGTACTGCAGTTTTGTTTTCCCACAGACACTAAGTGATGTCTCATTCCCTGAATTTTAAAAATTAAGTAATTGGGCAATCTCCTCGTGATACTACCCTTGAATTACGTTACTTTCTGAAATTCTCACATTAACATATAGAGATGCAACACTAGATGAAAAGATGTCCGCATAACCTCGTCAGAATCCATCCCAATTTCACAATTTTTTTTTTTGCTATCAAATAACTGTATACATAGCGAAGTATGTGGTTAGATAGAAATCTTACCTATTTTTATTACATGCTTATCAATATCATTGTTTTCTTTAGTAACTTGATCATCTCATGAAATAACGCAAAGGACGCCACCCCCTCACAAAAGTACAACAATAATGTAAATAAACCGTGTTGTCATCAATTATTTAATGTAACCATGAGACATTCAATAATGATACTTGTTTCTAGTGATATCTAGACAGGAATATCTCTCTGAAACCATTATAAGCTGAATCAACCCTGGTAATTGAGCGGAAACACTCACCCAGAAGGGCCTTTTGACGCACAAACACGACGTTGAAGGTGGAAGTAAGTTGAGGAGGGTTGCGATCCGAAAGAAAAAACAGCAAATCCGTTATTCATAAAAAAAGAGACAAAAAAGTTTTCAGATTAACAAAAACTGAATAAAAAAAAAACGCTCATGAGCTGTAGTAATTTAAAAACTGCTTTCCAACATTCCTCACCGGCGGTAAGATCAGCCATAACGAACACAATCGATCATTTGCCCATCGAAACCACTGCGGCCGCAGCCATAACAGCGGAATTGTCGGCCCCATGAGAAACAGAGAGCCGAAAAATGAACAAAAAAAAAGAGCCAAATTGTAGATTAAACCTCCAAAGAAGTTTCTCAGCATTCTTAAAATCCTTAACACTGTTAGTACAGTTAGGGAAAGCGAAGAAAGTATTGATGCGAGAAAGCGTGACACGAGCAAGTATAAGCGTGCGGCGACACAGACTGCAGCTGGATTGTGAGGTGTGCGGGCTCTAATGAAAGGCTCGCAGTGGATTGTGGGTTGCTAAGGAAGCATGAAGGATACATTTTTGTTCATGTCTATTATCGGTGTTATTTTTTCACAGTATTATGCATTTTTTGCTTGATTGTTCGTTTTTTTTACTTTTTTTCTTCTGGAATACCGATGGAAGCCTCTCTGAACAAATATTATCATCATCTGCGTTTATTAAGTTGGTAAAATCTGTACAGACATCACACCAACTATTATTATACAAAGATATAAATATATATAATACTCAGAAAAAATTAATAAAGTAATTCGGATAGTAATTTCATAACTGTATAATATATATTATGAGAATATAAAATAATAATGCCCAGTGATTGTTAACTAAATAGGGGAGTAGCTTGGAGTAAAAAACAGCCAAGGAGTTTGACTCAACTGTTTCCGGGGGTAGATTATTCCATAATCTTGTGGTCCTTAAGAAAAAGGAAATGTTCTTTGTCGCCATATCTTGCCTATATTTATGACGATGACTCCCTCGAGTTCTAACTTCAGATTGGGGTTGTAATTAGTTATTTACATCAATATCAATTTGTCCACTGCTCATTTTATATAAAAGGTTTAAACGAGTCAGTTCTTCTGAATTCTAAGCTCGCTCAACCTATATCAAATTTGAAGCATTTCAGTAATGCTAGCTGTTGGATGATAGTTGTTGGAGCAGAGCCGAACCCCTTTTCTTTTCTCTGTCTCATTTTAATGTTCAAAATAGACGAACACCGATAAGAGTTAATCTTCTTTATTTGCGAACAACAACAAAACTCGAATAATAACTCTCTGCTCAAAGACACGTGTTTAGCATCATTGGGAATTGCGAAACCCCCCCCCCCTTAGACCTAAATGTAGCCCAATAACTCGAGTATAGTTTAGAACTTAATTGTCAAGCAACAACTAAGGAATGTTGGGGGTCACCACACCATGGTATCTATATATTAGATACCAGTTTAGTTGTGCGATTCCCTGTTCAAGAGCTTCCTTTCCATCTAAAATGATGATTTCAATAGTGTAGCTTCATTTCTTCCCTATATTTTGTATAACACTGCATTACTGGGAACCCCTCTCTCTCTCGATCTCTCTCTCGATCTCTCTCTCGATCTCTCTCTCGATCTCTCTCTCGATCTCTCTCTCGATCACTCTCGAAGACGATCTGTCCGTTTAACTCGAGCTTATCCGTCCGTTTTATTCAGTATATTATTTCAAACCATTCTTTGTAGTAGAATCAGTCTCATGAGGCTGATTAGAAAACGAATTAATTAATCTTTTATTCCCTTAGAATGACTGGCTTCTAATTTCTCCTTTCAATATCACCCTTGAAATAATTATAAATAATAAATAATAATAATAAATAATTATAAAGATCACGAGAATAAAGGAAATGATCACCAATCGAAGAAGCTCCTGATTGTTAGCACCATGGGAAATGTAAAGATAACAGAGAATATTCATAAACGGTTGAGAATATATGGAAAATTACTACGAGGATCACTTTCATTCACGTCTTTATCCGCAGTTCAAATATATGACTTTCATATATTCTCAACCGTTTATTTCATCACTTCACGGGTTTATTTAGAACCAACATCATGATCAGCTCCCAGTTGGCTTGTTAGCTCAATTGGTAGAGCGCTGCACCGGTATCGCAGAGGTCATGGGTTCAAATCCCGTACAGGCCTGAATTTTTTTTCAGGCCTTATTTTCACTACTGCCTAAGTAATGCACATTACTGCGAGGATCACTTCCATTCACTTCAAGAGAATATTGATGTTAGCGTAACCAAGAGAAAAGTCGGAAAGATGTTCGGGGGGCTGCAACCTGTATTCAGATCTTGGTCTTAACACTACACGCAGGCCGAGGCCCCGAGCATTTGGTGGGTTCTTGTTCCTGCTTCGAGGTTATTTTTCACTCCGGAACAGCTGGAAAAGTTGACTTTCCCAGTTCCGCTTCGACGCACAACAATTAGCCGTCTCGAGATCTTTCTATTCGTAAACAATTTACAGACAAAGGAGATCGGGAGGGTGGCAATATGTTAATACCTGGCACGTGATTAAGCCCAAAATTAAACGCTGTACGAGGCGCGTGAATTTACATAAAGGTGAGGAGATCCCAGGTTATCCTTTAAGCGTAAATGAATGTTTAATGTACACGTGACGCGTTTTTTTTTTCGATTTTGTGCGTGAAATTGGATTAGAACCATTTCTCCCGCCCGCTTGAATTTTATAATTGGACTTTGGGCATGAGGATCGTGACACTCCTGTTTTAATTATTACACAACAACCTCTTCTTCCCACGCCCGGAACACTGAGCTAAAAATTGCACTTATATAACCACAAAAAAAATTAAACAGGTCTCAGTTGACTTCCTTGGTCACGCAAGTGTCTCACAATTACCCAAGGTCGCCATTCTTATGATATTTTAGAGTACGAATTGTCCTACAGAAATGCGTTGTATAATTTTTTACATGTTAATCAAGGGCGCAAAAATAATCGTGAATGATGTTATAAGATTCAGAGAGCCAGAGCATGCAAATTGACCCAACGGATCGCAAACTTTTATCAAAATAAACGACTCTAAACAATAGTTTGACTCATTTCGTTTGCATGGCTTTCTTTGCTCGTTGAAGTTGCTACATTGTTCTTACTTCTAGGTTTGTGATGGCATTTTGAAAAACCTCTTATTAAAAAAAAAGAAGAGGTTTATTGATCGTGCATAAATATTATTACCAGCCTATATAATATAAAATATAATATTTTTCGTTCCTTCCCAACCATACTATTTGTTTTCAGTGGTGAAAATATATGATTGGCGCGCCAACACTTATTGCCGGTGTCAAATTGAAACAAGACAAAATCTAAGCTTTGAACTTGTATATCATCACAGAGAACAATAGAAGCCCCGTGGGTCGTCATTTACACTGTACTAAGTATGTTAATTTTTACTCAATAAATTCGTGGTATAGTCGACAGGTGACTCAATTTAACTGCGAGTGATGTTTAGAGCAAATACCAATTTAACTTAGACTTATTGAACATAAACATTTGACCTTTTTTTCCAAAGACAAAGACAAATAAACAGCAAAGCTAACTTAGAGTTGAATGTTTGATATGTAAATCGTTTCGAGGCAATCGCAAGAGCATAAGCTCACGCCCTGAAGCTCAACAGCTGTTTCGTAGAAGGTTCGCCAAAATAAGTTTTCGGGCATGCGATGGCGATCTTCTGGCGACGAGGAAGATTGCTTAAGTATGTATTATTACGGATTTTCCTTTACTTAAGACCTATGAACTTCGATCAAGCTGTTGTAAATGGCCATAGGTCGCGACAGTTGTTACCGACTGTCGCTCTCGCTTAATTTACAGCCGCACTGAGAAAAATACAGCTGTACGCTTTATGTATTTTGTAAACGAAGTTTAAAGAGTCGGTTGCCCTGCGACTAAAAATTGGTACCGCGATGGCTGAAAGACAGGTGAATAGCTATCTAAAAACGATTATTAGCTCAACTCACCCAATAACGTCTACGTGATTCCACACAACAGCCAGTTACATGAAACAGAGAAGGAAGAATTATTCAAAATATTTTGCTCGAAATGCATAGGAAGTGAAGCTACAAAACTTAACTAAAACAGAGCAATGAATTAAGTTTCTACGACCAGCCGAAAATTGTCTCGTTTGATTGCACGCAACTTCAAAAAATCAGTAGCAATATTATCGTGGAATAATAATAGTAAATATAGTGATACTAATAACATTAAAACCCAAAAATTAGGGAAGTAAAATATTGTGAACGATATTACTGTGGTAAGTGCTTACCGGGGGAAGAACAAGCCACCACACCGTGAGGTGGTCATTAACCCAGCGAAACCACCTCGGCCGTAAACACAGAAGAATTAAAGTCGGGCCCATGATAACGATGGTGCCGAATAAGCCAGTATAGTAAAGAAAAGCAAGGAAAATGAATCCCTTCAAACGCTGAACTGTTGCCATGGTCCCAATCCTGCTGGCGCCCGTTGAGAAGTAAACCAATGCAGAGTTTCAATTCAATCGGCACCGGCAGCGTTACAAAAGCAACTGATTTCAATAACTTGATGCCTTTGGAGTTTTGATGAATAAAATTAAACGTGACATAATGCGCGATCTGCGTGCACGCAACTGCGCGGCGAATAAGCGTAATGCAACGGTTATGTTAGCGGCTTGATATCAACGAAACACGGTATCATTGCTAAAAATGACCTGCTGAAATTTCCATAACTTATGGAAAACCATCTAAGCTCTAAAAAGAAACATTTCTGATGATAACATAGTACTTTACCGGTCCAATGATTTTCTTTGAGGGCAAGCATTAAAAAAGACAATTAAGGAAAAAAGCACACAAAAAAAAAAGGCTAAAAGTCATTTTGACACTTTTGTGTACCTTACTTTTATGGTAATTCATGAATAGTACGTTTCCATGTTGACATACGCAACCCAACCCAGGCCTCTCTCGTTTTTTGTGGCTACTGCCTCCTACTGGAGGCGGAACCACAAATGTCGTCGAGATGAGTGAGTAAATGAGTGTAACAATAGAATTCTGATTTTAACCCAATTTGACCCGATGTTTCCCGGTACCGGCTTATTGTTTTTTTTTTTTCGGAGTATCTTAGTATTTCGACATTCGCACTCGATACACAGTTGAGTTCTCTCCTTTTGTGATTTCTGGCTTAAAGCCACTAGTGCATTATGTTTTCAGTTCTTGCCGTGACACTGCGGAAGACAGAAGAGGACGACAACACCCCACAATCATTTCAGGATTGCACGCGACTAAAAAATAAACAAACGTTTTCCAAGCAGAAATATCTTAATAGGTGTGATCGGCACATCGTGAAACTTAGTGGAATTTTTTTTTTTTTTTTCTATAAAGAGAGTGCATTTTACCGTTTAAATCAGCGAGTTATGTAGATCCGAAGATACAGTCTTTTCAGTTCTTACCGTGACACCACAAAAGACGGTAAACATCTCAAATGAAATTTCACAGTGGCATCCACCGACGCATAACTTAAATCAAACCTTTTCCTCAATGGCAGAAATAGCTCAACAGATGTGATCTATAAATCATTGACGCTTTCTTTAAAAAGGAGGGCATTTTATCGTTTGAATCACCGACTTATGCCGAAAAGAGCCGCCAATTAAGCTTCGAAATACGGTGTATCTTGAGATATCTGCAAGGAAACGAATGCCATGAGTAATTCAACAGAATGATGGAACGGAGGAACGGTGGGACGGTAGAACGCTGGAACGGTGGATCAGCGGAATAGTGGAATATCTTATGACACGGAATGCCTTTTTGTAAGAAACAAAAGTCTAAAATATTGATTTGCAATAAAATAAGAAATTATTTATAGTAAACAGGCGAAATTAAGAGAAGCATAGGTAATCATTGTTTGAACCTAAAGGATAAGGGAACAATTAGGCTTAAGAGCTGGCCACTTAAAATTATTATTATATTACTATAGATGTGACGATATACATTGTTATTATGCGTGAAAGGATAAAAAAATATGATAGAGACATACAGTTTGCTCGTACCTCTGCGGTTTCGGAGCACGCTAACGAAACGGAGCATATTCCTATTTGGTGCAAGGTTAAGTTTATTGATCGTGACCCTCACTGGTACACACGTAGGGGTTAAAGAGGCTATCCATATAAGACTTCACCCCAACAACATCAATAAGGATAGTGGACTCGAAATTCACGAAGCTTGGTTACCCACAATCAAATAACACAACAGCCGATCAATACGGAACTAGGAGGGAACACCATCTAACAACGGGAACAATAATGTGGATCGAAATGCACCAATAGTAGCGAAACAACGTGCTGCAAATAGCGACGCGTAAACAATCGATCTCATCGCCTGATGAAGACTAGCAGTATTGCAGTCGAAACGTCGCGATCAACAAGTGACTCCATGGTGAGAAAAACAAATAAAGTTCATCTCCTATCTTACACTACGATGAACAATAACCACATTTTTTATTACATTATTGTTATTATTGTTACGTGAGACAAATATTCCGGAACAATACCTTCTAGCGTCATTATACAACCTTTAATTCTTTTCAATGCCATAATATTTTTCTATATCAGTAGGCACATGCAGTATTCGACTCCCTATTTTTTCACTTCGCCACCATCGGGGTTCTCTCTCTTTGATTTTTTAACGCACCGAATATTCATTTAGTTTTGGTGCCAACTTTAGGCTGAGAATATACTTGTTGAAATGATTTCTTAAATTACAAAGAATTGCTTTTAAATTGTTACCCAACTAGCGAGGAAACACATTTAAAGCAGCTCTCAGGAGTGTTCATTGATACCATTTGTTCTCTCACAACACTCCCCTATATCGAAAAACGTAGAATGGTTAGCTTTCAGAAGCATCTAGAGGCGCCGTTTGCGCATTCAAAAATATTTCGTCTGTTCCACCACATAGAGTTAGAACAAAAAACACAATTCCGAAAAAAAGTAAGCACCATCTCAACACTGACGACGCGGCCAGAAGAAGACAAACGCAACTACTTGAAAGCACCCAAAAAACTAGCTCAAACTTGTAGAAAACTCTCACTGCTTCCTCCTCGTTGTTATCTACAATTACCGACTCAACAACGGGAGTAAAATGTTTTTCATCTTGGCCGTAAAATTTTGATAGTCTTTCTTCTTTTTCACTCCATCGTTTGCTGCACCAATGGTCGAGACCTTGCGAATCAACCGGCAGTTCATCGATGGAAAATCTCTGAATGTGAAAGTGAATTTCATCTGGTATCTTTCCTTTCATTATATCTAGTTCCTCGAAGCAATAATTTTCAGAATAACCCACTGTCACATCGTAAATAGCATCTATTTTATTCCCTTGTCGAAGTTTTTCTACGCAGTGAGTGAATCCACGCACGCGAGGATGCAAAACATAGTCGTAAAGCGGAAGGTCATTCTTCTTGGCATAATTATCACTCCAGGTTTTTGTTATCTCTTCGAAGTTAGTACCCTCGGGAAACATAAGAAGATGTAATTTATCTGGTGAACTCACAAAATATCTGAGTAACGAATTCAGGTAGCCCTCGTCCTTCTCCCAGCGTCGATACAAGAAAATATAGAGCGCATTCTGCATGGCCCACCCTGAAAATAAGTAGAAACGTTTTAGATACGAGGGATCAAGGGAGCTACGTCACGACTTGCCCATGCACACTGAGAACAGAGAGACTATTGCCACCAACAAGCTGTTAGTAGCCTTTGCCGTCGAGTTTCATACCATCTGTTCAAACCTGGAATGATGCGAACACTAAAAGGTCTGAGATGTAACTCGCATCGAGCTCATTTATTGGTTTCCGGTGATCGTGATGTACTGGACTATTGTATTTCTTTTCAGAATAACTACGAATAAAGGTATTATGTTTGTGTGTTCTGTTGATTTGCTAATAATGCAGACCTTGTTTTCAACGAGAGAAGCCCTGAAATGTATCTTTGAAACTCACAGGAAACAACTGGAACAAAAATCATCCTACATGACAGTAGGTAACCAAACATTTGACTTCAGTTTAACAGCCGCGCGCTCTGCTTCTTGTCGTTTACTACGGAGAACAATAGCGATTTGACAGCGATAAGAGTCAAACTCACAGCGTTACATAGCCCCTTTAATACTCAGTGTACTCCTCTTTCCCTCCCTTTTCCTATATTTACCCGCGTGCATCTCTCTTGCAAAAGAAAAACAAATGGGAACGAGTTACTGGCAAAGGCTTATAAGAGTTCTAGTAATCACGACATTTATTTACTACTCGCCTGGGCCAGGAATATATTTCAATTCTCTTTTCATCAGGATCTTCTCATTTCTCAACGCTAACTCGCTAGATCGCGCCATCACGCACCAAAAGAACATCCAATCCAAACGGCATCTGTGGTTCATGATGATTATGGAATTCTCGTACCTCGCTGGTTTTTCACCAGTCAAAATAATTTTCACGTCTAACATATACTCTGTGTGTTGAGAAAGTAGACAATATTTCAGCTGATATTGTTTGTGGGTAAAGTCTGTGCTCGAGCCAAGTGGCCCATCCAGGCGGAGATTACCCCGGTTTCCATCGCATGAAGCGACTAGGAGTGTGGAGGAATATTTGGCCCAGTTTCCCAAAGACACTGTAGATTCGCAAGTTGAATCAACAAGGGATTTATTGTTGCGTAAAAACCTCCTAACCATGTCACGGCGATGCCCACTAAACTCGCGTCCGGACAACGACTTTTTGAATCACGTGATTCGAAATTCCGGCGAGAAATTAGTATAATTAATAACTTAATAACGAAACGAAAATAAAAGTCACAAATTCTTAAAAGCTGTTACGTGCAAGTCACGCAGTCACACAACGTTCTCCACAGGTCACAGTGTGGTTCTAACTCCCCCCTGGATAGGATGTTGGTGCATCTCAAGGTCATAATTACCCCCCAGCATTTCACTAGACTTCTCTCGAAATTCCCCAGTCCCCTTTCATACTCCTGGGTGGAGAGAGACATTGTGAAAGTAATGAATTTTTTCTAAGAGCACAACACAATCTCCTGGCCAGGCGTAGAACCCAGACCACTCGACCCGCAATAGCCATTGGGTCACCTCGTCTCTCACGATATCTTAATTAACCCCTTAACTCCCAGAAGTGATTAACATGTAACTTCTCCCCACAATATCTAAACATCATCCAGCAAACAGGTCATGAGAATATTCAAACTTATCAGGTAGAAGTTGTTATCTTGATCTAGCACCAAATTCTTGTAACTTAATTACAAGGAAACGTGTAGCAGCCAGAGGGGAGAATTAGCAATCAGATCTTGGGAGTTAAAGGGTTAAGGTTGTATCGATTCACCGTGTTGTATACAATGAGATGCAGCATCATGTGCTTACTTCGCACGCTGGAAGTGGCTACATCGTGACACAAAAGAGATCACCTTTTTTCCAGTATTTCAGCTTCCATATTACAAGCGGGAATTCGATGTGCAGAGTTGTCAGACATCCAAAGTTAAAGTTAAAAACAAATATAAAAGACAAACAACTTACCCAGCATTACCTTGGTAATTCGATGTGACATCCATCGAGATACATAAAAAAAAACAACAAAAAAAAAGAAATTTATAAAGTTAAAACTTTAAAAATATTTTACCCGCGACTGTGCGACCTTAAGCTCGAAGAATAGTCACTCCAGGCCTGTGTCACTCCCAAATTTGGCACGTATTACTCTTGCGTGATTTTAAACGGGACAACGAATTTTGCGACTGGAGTGAATGTTGTTTGGGCTTGAATATTAATGTAAGGTCGATACTAGCATCCCGGCAGGCCGGGCTGGCTCGGGCTAGCTCGGGCTGGCTCGGGCTAGCTCGATTGTCATATAATAACGAAGATGCCGGATTTTCGTTGCGTTCAGCAACAGTGTCATGATCACGGTAAAAACCGGGCCAGCTCGGCTAACTGGGCTTGCCCGGCTCATGTATTCAAGCCCTTAGTCTGTACTAAGATTGATCGTGAGACAAATATATCGTGACGACATGATTTCCGCCGAGCTTCGCAACCCACTGGGAATATAAACACACTGTAAGATTTTACGCCGTTAACTAACGGCATAAATTCTCCCAGTCGGTATAAATACATACTGAGAGATTTTACGCCGTTAGTTAACGGCCTAAAATCTTAAAGTATGTTTATATATCGACGCAGATAGTTAGTCACGTATTACGCCGTTATCTAGTTAATTCCTGCATCCCACTCGATCTTTCAGTTTCTATGCATATTAAAACACCAAAACCACACCAAACTGGGAAATCAAACCGTTTCTATGAAATGACACGTTTGAATTCTACAACAGTAACGTAAAGAGATGTCATAGAGGCTTACCACAGGCAAACCGAGCCAAACGGTGACTAAACTGTCGTTGATGAAACGAAACCATCTTGGTTTGAGCCACGATAGTATCAGTGTAGGACCCAAAAAAAGCGGTGTGAAGATCATAGAAGTAACAGCAAGTATTAGAACAAACAGGAAGCCCTTGATTGATCGAATCGCTACCATTTCAGTAGCGTTCACTTCTATTTCAGGTATGACAAGTTTGTCCTTTGCTCCGATTTGACATCAATGCCGAATCGAGCACAACGCATAAATTTTGACTGATTATGCAAATCAGAACCATGCTTTTACTCAACATTTGTCACGCAATCTACAGCATCGTCGAACTGCGTTAGCTTTTGGTTTCAATTTTCAGCAATCATCAAGTGTGACTTTTCACCAAAATATTGACTGCGGCAGGGCTATCAAAGTACCCAGTGACTGCGTAAAATGATTGAGAAGAGATCCGCTTGGCTAAATTACATTTGGCAATTTTTTTTTCCCCTTTCACTTCCTAAGACATCGTTCATCTCTTTAGTTGGCTGTAATTCCCTACTCTCATTTCCAAAATGTAATCGGTTTCGGCTAAATAATATTTTCTGATATTCCTGAATTATCTCAGTAGCGGCAGAACTTTAAGACTACCGCGATCTAACCGCACAGCGGTGGTAGTATTAGTGTGAGTTACGAAAGCCCCGCTCTTTTGTAAAAACGATCTGCGATTGCTGTTAATCAAAATATCTACATACATTTTCAATTACCAGACAGAACCTCTCGTAACTTGTTCCTTAAGTTGCAAAATTCCTCGCTACGTCGCAATATAAAGATATCAAAACTTCTCTCTCAAACAAAGTGAGAAACGTTCGTATGAGCTCAACCATTTGAACTTCAAAACTTGTAACGTCACGTCAGCAAGGCAAGCTTCATAATTCGCAGTTGTCAGGCAAGCAGACGAACAACACTAGTAACAGTACTGTTACAGTAACAGATATCCCCGTGTACAATCCATTGCAAAACTGAAATCCATTCTTCTCAGGAAGAGAGAGAGTTTTGAATAGGAAAGAAAATCCACAAATCGTCTGAATCAAGTTCGAACAGAGTGCGAGACTGGAGGCCAATCTTACTTAGAATGCGCACTTTCTGTGTGTGCCCTTTTGTTCGTTTTCTATGCACACCAAATAAAGCGCGAAACTTGAGGCAATCTTACACTTGACATGTGCGTTTCTATGCGTGCCGAGTAGAGCACGAGTAGACTTGTGGTCAATCTAACTTTAACATGTGCGTTTTCTGAGCGCGCCGAATAGAGTGAGACAAATCATTCCTACTTGACATGTGAGTTTTCTGTGATAGCCGAACAGATTGCGAGACAATCTTACTAGACATGTGCCTTTTCTATGGGCGCCAAATAGAACACAAAACTTGAAGGCAATCATACTTGACATATGCGTTTCTGCACGTGCCGAATGGAGTGCGAGACGTCAGGTCAACCTAACTCGATGATGTTGGGCAAACAAAGACTCTGAAGAAAGGGTTCTATGTTACTTGGAATACACTAATGCTGAAATTATTCTTGTTCCAAACCAAGCTTTCGTTTTTGTATCCAAACAAAAATCGCTCGAAATCCTCTGCACTATTCATCGTATGACCAAAGACGAGAGCCACTATCACTTTATTTAGTGTCATCAGTGACTACTTTTCGAAGTGTTGTTGATAGTTTCCTACCCAAAACCAAGTGAGCCAACAAAATTGATTCA